ATATTTGTTGCAGTTAGAATGCAAGAACCAGACTGAACCAGGTACTTTAATAACTGATCAGCTACTCTCCAGTGGAGCTTGTTTACCGTGTCTAACACTGGAAAATACTTCTCATCTTACTTTAATTGTTAGGTCACTCTAAAAAATATATAATGCTAGTCACAGACCACGCTTTTAGGAAGATACTGAAAATTAACAGCATACCACAAACCAAACTGCAAGTTCAACATTACATGCCACAGACAACAACAGCTGCAAAGTTGACTCATTATTGGCCTTGTGCTCATTCGAATTTCAAAGACATGGAGTCCACTTAACTAACGACGACAGCCTCTTCAATCAAATTTGAAACTTTTACCATCAGAAGTCGTGCACTATTGAGAAACTACAAGGTTATGACCACAGTAGCAGAGCCATTTTCAGTGTTTAACAAGGCCTTCTTAGGCTTGCTTAATTTTTTTTAAACCAATCCAAGTATGTCATCAAATAGCAATAATGAACTTTCACACATCACTTCTTTTCCTTGTGGAGCTCTCCCAATCAATCAATGCTTAAGCAATGTGTAAACAAGTCAAACACAGAACTGCTGAATCAGGGTGCAGGAGCACTTATAAAGATGATAAAGAAATCTGCAGCTTGGCTACAAATTTCTCCATGGAATTTTCTTCATTCCAAGTGATCACCATGATACATCAGCTTGTTAAGATCCAGCTGCATCCCGATCCCAGTTTGTACGAAAAACAGTATCAAGCTCTGCGATACTTAATCTCAATCCATAAAGGCACTAAATGTAAAATGATTCTCAAAAATATCAAATGTGGTATGTTCAGATGAGTCATGGGAAATTTTCAGCAGGAAATGGGGGAAAAGTTCAAAACAGGGTTATTCAAATCCTATAGTTTACTTTACATGATCAAATACACAATGAATCTTTAAAACAACTCCAGTGCAAGAGTGATATTGCAAATAACTTAAAACATTTACAGTGAAAAAATACTACCTACATAAATAGAAAAGGTAAATTGCAATTAAAAGATGGTTTCTAGTTCTGTGCAGCTAATCAGGACAAAGAGCTCAAACAGGCACCCTGCAATGTACTGACAATATCATTTCAGTGAGTTTGAATGTGTGTGCGTAATAATCCATTAAGATTTTTCTCAAACAGACCTGTCAAACCAACAATGTACAGCAGTTCCTGTTTATTTGGTTCTTACACTGCCTGAAGGTTAAGTTTGCAGAAAATCCCAATGGATTTTCAATTGCAACTATGACTACTACGTTACATGGTGCTGTTGCCAAATTCACTTTGCAATCATACTTTGATGCAAGAGTATAGATGGTACCCATTTTGTTCATTTCAGATGAAATACATGTTTGTTTCTTTTATCAGCAAAATTTGCATTTAAGATACAGCTCATATAGATTCTGTGTAACTGAAAACTATATTCTCACTCAAAAGAACAAGGAGAAGTTAAAGAGGGGGCAAAATTTACAAACAGTTTTCTGTAATTAATGGTGCAATAGACATAAAAGTATAACACAGACTGTCCAAACTAAGGCATGTACAAAATCAAAATGAAGTGAAATCTTTTTTTCTGCATCCTACAGACCCTGTAACACAAAGACTGCAAAAACCTACCAGTGAGCACATGCATTCTACCAAGGATTACTTTCATGAACAAGGATGAGAAGCTACAAGAGGATCTCTCTGCATTTAAGATTCTTCGCACACAGAACCGATGAAAAGTTATTTTAGCCAGGCTCGATAACAATCTCATATGGTTAAATCCACTTGCTCACTATCTCATCCATTAGGTGATCTAAATCAGTGGCATAGAGATTAAACTTCAGCCAAATGTTGAGAAGAAACTTATTTAAAGTGAGGATGAAAAGATCCAACCTAACATCAAATAAAAGTGAAATATGTTTTTCCCCAGCCAACAAATAATGATATAGTCTTTGTGAGGTGGCTCAGCAGAACACTGGAAGCCATGGCTCAGTACTACATTTTCCACTTCAAATTCCTAATGGTTCAGTGGAGGATCTCCAAATGCAAGGTTTTTCCAAATTAAGTCTAAACAAGAGGAAAAAGAAACGTAGAGGGGTACAGTAATATTCTAAATAAAACCTGAAAGAACTGCAGGTACTGTAACCCATCTCAGAAGTGAAAAATTAACTCTGATTTCTCTACACAGATGCTGCCAGACCTGCTGAGCTCTTCCAGCAATTTCTATTTTTGATAGTAATATTCTATTCAGGAAACTCCTTGTGTAGAAAGGAATAGCAAAGATTATGAAAGGAGGCTCTTACTGTGGAGTCAGATGCTCTGGAGGGAGATTTTAGGGCCTTGTGTTGATCAGTAATCAGTCGTAATGATAGTGAGGCTTAAGACACTTTTCAACACACCTAATGGAGTCAGGGGACAGGCAGTTTTAGCAACTAAATAGCTTAAGCTGCAGATTATATATAATGTCAGGGCAGCTGCTCTTCAAGTAACATCCAGCACATTTCTAATCTTGGATACTGCAGCAGCAAGGGTTCCATTCTTTTCCAGCCACACATTACTAAAGCCGATCATATGCAGCTGTGGAGAAGTGCAGACCAGGTTGTCAAAGAGGTTTAAAAAATGTACCAAACTTCCAAGTTACATGCTGAATGGTACAAAGTCTTGGGATCCTCAGAAAACAGTTTGGATAACTAACGGGTGTATGAGAGATTTTGACAATTTCTTTTTGTTCTGACACTTGATCTCCAGCATAAACATATTGAAGTTAGTGAAATAGAACTTATTGTAGAATTCGCTGTCCATGTCAAAATACAAATGTTTAATTCAAAAGCAACAGCATACAAAATTTCCCAATCGTAATACGCTAACTGCAAGTGCTAAAAAGGGATAAACACTGTGAAAATAAATTTCAAGGCTGTGGTTGGGAAGCAATTATCCCACAGTTGTTTCAAGTCGTTGCTAAAATTTAAAAACCTGGAACCAATTCATTTTATACACCTTTTTTATTCTATAGTCACCGTGTTAATTGCTCCAACTTCTGTCTGTAGATACAATGACAATGCTATCAGACGTCAAATACTGAACCTATTAGTACGGCTCTCCAATATCTGCTATTTAAATGGAGTTACTAATCATTTATTTCAAATTTATTTCAATCACGGGTTAAAATCTGTGACTTCTCAACTAATATCTCTACATTTTACGAGCATCTCTCTGGTTTTGCTGGATTACCAAGATGCCATCTTCGCATTTCCTGATTTTCCACTTCACAAGTCCTTAGTTTCTTCAGGTTGAAGAGTAGAAGTCAGCTCCATTAAGCCTATATCCAACCTTTCTCGTCACTGCATTAGCAACAAATCTCATAACTTCCACATCATGAACTAGAATTTTAAATGAGCATTTTCCTCAGGACCTCACCAGTTTTCTGTGGTTACTTGCTGAACTTGCATTCTTCAATTTCTCTGGCATTCCAGCAGATGGCACTCTAAAGAACTTTCTGGACCACAGTGATTCCTTCCATGCAATCCATAGTGCAATTCAATATTGTACAGTGCTTTATATTTAGAAAGACATCAGCTGTACAACACCAACTGAACGTTCTTATTGCAATATGTCTATATTTAGAATTTATAAATGTGTAATACTTTACAACACAGATGTTACTGCATAGAAATTTTATACTTAACCTCTTTAACTATCAGTCTTGCCTGAATATACATTTAAACAAATCAATAGTTTTAATTTGGGCTCAATTTTTGGGTTTTTTTGTAAAGAATCCTGTAGTGCTGAAGTCAAATTAAAAGATGTTACCCAGATGCCAGACTGCACTCCTCTAGTTATAATCAAAAATCAATATTATCACAACGCTGAAAAGAAATAATTTAGGGAATTCTGAGCATCAGTATTAAACTTGCTGTGCTATGCAGCCTAGAGACATAACTCCAGCACAGTGTACTCCTAGTAGGTAAACTGAAAATTATAAATTGTCCGATGGACTTTTAATTTATGTTAAGTGGGTCAAAGTTTACATTTGTTGATGTACATAATTGCATGCAGTTTGCATACCTGGAAGATAGGGGTCCCAAGGGAGTTCTGAAACAAGGAACACCCCGTGGCCTTCTTTTCCTAAAAGCCTGCTCTGTTAATTTGCTTTCAGAAGCAGGGTCTATCCTCCAGAATGAGCCTTTACCAGGCTCCTCTTGAGAACGTGGTACCTTAATGAAGTAGCGATTCAGGGAAAGATTATGTCGGATAGAATTCTATAAAAGAAGATGAGAGATGGGTAAAAGATTTTGCAAAAAGAACACATTCTGTTCAACTGACACAAATAATTGACCGAAGCCACACAATTTCTGCTTGTATCTACAGTACTGGTGTTCCTTTACCTGCCATCCTTTGTCCGCTGTCCTGTAATAGGGATAGTTCTTTGTGATGTGTGTGTAGATTCCACTTAATGTAAGCTGTTTATCTGGTGCAGTGGTGATGGCTTGAACTATTAACTGTGCATAGGAATAAGGTGGCTTGGCATCATCCTGTCATCAAAGAACATTTATTAATTCCAGAAAATTAAAACAATAAGATTAAGGGCTTATTCATTCAGTATTGAGCAACTTGTTTCCAAAATGGAAGAGTTTTCACTTTTCAACACACTCAACAAGCATCCAAACACAATCTTTCAGATTTATCTCATTCTATTGAATTGTGCAGCTTCCAAGCTCCATACTCATAAATCAATGTTTTGAAAAACGTCACCAACAGTCTTAATTAATTTAAGAGTTTTTTGGAAAGTAAATATTTTAATGCACTTACTGCTGCAGCTCTTTCACGGTTTTCAATATGGCTTTATGAACATAAGTTTTTGACCAAAGGAAATCACAATGTTTTTGAAATTAAAAATGTATTATTTTAGTGGATTCAAGACTTATGTTTCCCCTCTTTTCCCTAGATGAAAGAGTGACAAATAAAGTGAATTTGGGTTCAAACAGCCAAGACAATTCAGATGAATGGTACATAACAAAACAAATTGGAACTGGAGTGGAATTCAGTTATTGGGATTGCTCCAAGGTTGGTCATGACACATTATTTGGGTAGGGTCAGTCAGAACTTTATACTGTACTTGATTTATGAATATTGTTAGATGAAGCAATTCAAAAGTATATTTATGAAAGAAATTTGAAAATGTATTTTTAAATCGCTGTAAAAATTCCTTACAGCATTTTTCACAAATTTCTACAGTTTAATTCTGAAGGCGTTTTGAAATATCATCACAAGAAATAGTATTTCCGTCACAAGAAAAAAAGTGCTTCCGTTCAAACAAATAAGAACAAGAATGATGCTGTTAATGCTGTACAACTCATTTTTATAAACACTGAAATCTAGCTGAAATATATGGGGTTTTCAAGCTTCAAAATACAGTGCAATACCCTTTACACACTGCAGTCCCATCATAGAACAGCATGAAGCTAATTCTAGCCCCCCACAATAAATTGGGAGTTTATGTGCCTGTTTAACAGAGAGCAGTTGTCAGAGCTTCTAAGCTGGAAGGTTGTTCGTACAAACCCACTCCAGACACCTGGGACATACAATCAAGCCTGGCAAATCAGTACTGTACCTTGAGTTTCACTTTTTGGTGGTCTCGTTAAGCGGAGGTTCTGCTTTTCTCAAGCATACATAAAAGATAATACTACTCGAAAGGAGAGCTGCAGAATTCTTTGCAGTGCCCTAGCCATTATTTGTGTTTCAATCAAAGACCAATGAAACAAATCATCTGATCATTGGCTTCACTGCTGTTTGTGGGATCTTGTCATGCAATATAAGTCACCACATTTCTCTAGAATACAAGGGTGATCAGCGTTGAGAACACTTCACTTGGCATGAAGTGTTTTAGAATTTCATGAGGGTGTGAAAGAGGTCAAATAAATGGATGTTCTTTCTTTATTGGGAAGAATAGCAACCAGGAGGGTAAGTAGATCTTTGTATCTTCAAGAGTCTGGTGTAGAGTACCACCATGAATCTAAACAGCTAAAGTGTGAGCCCTTGAATTAAGAAATCAGTGATTGTAAAAAAAAAAAATACAAATGGGGGTACAGGGCTGTTTGTGCATGTTGGTGCATAGACATTTGATCACTTCCACCTTGATTAAATTGGTGATGGCAAGGCTTGTGGAGAGTTTCTGGACATGCTGCCACTTGTGACCAATTGATGCCTACTTAAGAACCCAATACCACTGCTGCTGGTATTCACCGAGCAACGGGATGGGGCTCACCACAGCGGAAGCAAGGAAGCAAACCCATTTGGGGCTGCTCCTGGGTTCCCAAGTGAGGCCCCTCTTTCAAAAGCACTCAAATGCCTGATCAAGGGACCCAGCACTGGACAGGAGTGTATGCTGAGCCATACCCTTTGTTGCTGACCCTCATGTGCAAATTTCCCTCAAAATCCCTCCCACCATCGGTTCCCTCTAGCCAGTGACAATCCTTGGCCTTGGATGGGTGTCACACCAACAGCAATGGTGGGATTTCCACCTGTGAGGAAAGGACTTAGTTGGCCCATTAAGTACTTGGTCGGCTGTTCTTTAGAGACATGGGGGAATTCTTGTTGGCTCCTTAGCTGGTGGATGAAATTCCTTCATCTTCAAAAGAATCCTACAGTGTACGTGAGAGAGAATTTTGGAGGTGGTGGTAGTGGGGGCAGGGGCGTGGATGCCGCGGTGAGGATGGGAGAGGGGGAGCAGGAGGGAGAGAAAACTGATGAGGACAAGAGGGGAGGGGCTGAAGAGAAGTAAAACTTTGTTGTTCTTAAGCAACACAATTTTCTTGCAGTACTTGTACAGTGCTTCGATACACTGGCAAATGAGTACTTTCTACCTCTTAATGAAAAATTCAAACTTAGACTCTACAAGAAAGATCTTCATGTCCTCTTTTATGTCTGGACAAAGTTGCTGATGACCAACATTATGTGTAAAAGTTATATCACACAACATTCCAAACAGCACTGCGGGTGTACCTACATCACGTGTCCGTAGGGCTTCAAGAACGCAACTCACCGCCACCTTTTCAAGGGCACGTAGGGATGGACAGCAAATGCTGACTCAACCGGTGATGCCCACATCTCGTAAAAGAATAATTTCCCTCTTCTCTTTTTAAATAGTTGGTCAAACATATTTTAAAAGCAATTGCTTCATTTTGGGTACTGACCTTTGGGCTGTCTCCATCTGATGTTTCCTTGTCATTCTCAGAGTTGTTTTGTGTAGGGTCAGACATTATTTGCAGGTCAGAATGAAGCCCACGACTTATTCGGTAACCAGAAGAACCTGCACCCCTCGGGCTGGAGGGGCAGGAGTTTGCAGCACTGTGAATAAAACCGAAAAGCTCTGTAAGTCAAATGTTACAGAAGTGCAACATAAAATCAGTTATAAAGTGAATTTTAAAAAAAGTTAACTGATTATTTATTCTAGTATTTGCTTCCGAAAATAGCATATGATAAAATGTCAAATCTCTGAGGGGTTAGGAGCGTTAATCAAAAAGCTTGGTAAGAAGTATATGACTTGGGAGGGCAGCTGACAAGTAACTTACATGGAAGTTTGGAGGTGTGGAAAAGATTTAAGTGACTATGATGAAGTAGTATCCCCAGGTGATAAGGGTAAGGGGATATCTGAAAAAGGAAGAAGTTGGCAACGACAGCCATTTGCTGTTATGTTATGGACTGGGCACAATATAAAACCTATAGCCTGGTAAGAGGTTTCAACAACTGAGCTAGGTTCTTATAAGCTGTAGGCAATTAACTAATTTTTCTCCCCGCTGATGTGCCATGGATGGACAGTTTTAGTTTGTGAGAAGGCAGCAAATAGAGGGTGACAGATATGGTGATATATATGACCAGTGAGATCTTGGGGAGATGAAAGAACAATGAGGAGGTTAATCCCCAACAAATGTGCTGGGTGAGATGGTGGCCATTAACAGGGATGAGGCAATTAAGGTCACTACTTTGCAAATGCCAGTGGCTTTGCCATTATCAGAATACCAAGTGGAGCAGAGAAGAGCTGTTGACGAGATGGGAGAAGAATAAATCATTTATATTTATCAAGCTCTTTAGCATAAGAATTTGTTTTAGGATGTCCCTGTGAAACACAATTACACAGAACCACACAAAGAGATAAACAAAAAGGATTCTCTTAAAGGAGCAAAGCAAGGTACAGAAAGGCAGAAGAGCATTTCACAACTTGAGAGTCAGCTAAAGGGGTAATCAGCAATGGTGAAGTAGTTAACATCAGGGATATGGAAAAGGCTAGGAATCAGATGTACAAAGCTATCTTAGAAGTTCATAGTCATAGTCGTAGTCATAGTCAGAGATGTATGGCATGGAAACAGACCGTTCAATCCAACTTGTCCATGCCAGCCAGATACCCTAAATTAATCTTGTCCTATTTGGCCATATCCCTCTAAACCCTTCTTATTCATATACCTATCTAGATGCCTTTTAAATATAGTCATTGTACTAGCCTCCACCACCTCCTCTGGCAGCTCATTCATGCACCACCCTCTGCATGAACAAATTGCCCCTTAGGTCCCTTTCTTAGCTTTCCCCTCTCACCTTAAATCTATGCCCTCTAGTTTTGAACTCCCCTGCCCTGGGGAAAAAACCAACCTTGGCTATTCACTTTATCCATGCCCCCTCATGATTTTATAAACTTCTATAAAAGGTCACCACTCATCCTCCGATGCTCCAGGGAAAATAGCCATAGCCACTTCAGCCTCTCCCTATTGGAGAAATCCTCCAACCCTGGCAACATCCTTGTAAATCTTCTCTGCACCCTTTCAGGTTTAACACATCTTTCCTATGGCAGGGAGATCAGAACTGAACGCAGTATTCAAAAAGTGACCTAACCAATGTCCTGTACAGCCGAGACATGAACTCCCATCTCCTACATTCAATGCACTGACCACTAAAAGCAGTGTACCAAATGCCTTCTTCACGACCCTGTCTACCTGTGACTCCATCTTCAAGGTCTCTTTGTTTGACAACACTCCCCAGGACCTTCTCATTAAGTGTATTAGTCCTGCCCTGATTTGCCTTAACAAAATGCAGCAATTCATATTTATCTAAATTAAATGCCATCTGATCAAGGTTCTGTTGTACTGAGATAACCTTCTTCACTGTCCACTACACCACCACTAATTTTGGTTTCATCTGCAAATTTACTAACCATTCCTCCTGAATTACCATCCAAATCATTTTACATAAATGACAAGAAGCAGTGGACCCAGCAGTGATCCTTGTGACACACCATTAGTCACAGGCCTCCAATCCGAAAAACAACCCTCCTCCACCACCCACTCTCTCCATCAGAGAAGATTTGCTTGACTAATACCTGGAAGGATTCAAAAAGTTTGGATTGTATCTGCTCAAGTCCATAAGAATGTAAGCACTCAAAACAAAAACCCAAGATTAACAGAATTACACAGTAGATAATTTCTCATTATTAACATTCCTGTAAGGTGTGGGACTGGAGCAGACTAGAGAGTTTTGGAGGGTTGAAACAATGCTACAGAAATGCAAACAGTTGGACCTGGTGATGACAAGTATGTAGTCAGAAGATTATCTCAGAGTTAAATATGACTCCAAGATAGCAATTAGACTGATTTAATTCTCAGACAGACAATCAGAGATGTTGGAGGCTGTGAGGGAAGTCAAGAAATTCAATTTCTGAGAGAAAGGTCATGAATAAGCTAGTTTTAGTAGTGCTGTAGTTTAGCACCTGGACGTTCAACTTGTATGGTAATAATGCTAAGCAATTTGGAGATTACCTACATCTCACTTTACTCCTTAGAATGCCCTTTCTCAATCTCTTCCTCTGATACCTTTCTCCCTTCAAATTCAAAATCTGAAAGCTCGTCCATTTAAACGAAGATTTCATTCACCTTTAACACACTGTTTGTCTACAATTTACACTTTAACAAATGAATAAATAGCATAATTTGTAGCACAAAATACAGTTATTCAGCATCTTACCTGATTGTTCCAGTAGGAGAAGGGAGGGGACTGATCAGATCAGCTATGTTATCTGGAATGTTTATCTTCAGAGGGGAAATCTGTGGTTGGACTGGCCTCACTGGAGATTCTGGGGCCTCCTGTTTCTCTTTTTTTTCACTGCAGAGTGCAGTAAATGAGATCTTAATATTCGTGCTGGGGAACCTGAAGGTACATCTGGAAAATACAAAATTTTCAGAAGGTCTGTTATTTTCTGGTTTTAAAAGGTTCCTTTATTCATCTGTACATCTTACAGATATAATAAATAATTTCTGAAAGTGCCAAATGAAAACTAATACTGTACTTAGAAAATATAGTCATTTCACTAGACTATGATATTAGCACTATCATAATTATCAGCTTTGTTTGGAGGATGACATCAAAAGTGAGCATGTTTCTGCCATTAGTCTTCACATCACTAAACAGACCAATTCCTGACCCACACATCTTGGACACAAGATGTCCAGTGAAGTAATGGGATCTGGAGTGCAGGATTACTTTCCTTCCTTCAGTTCTCTGCAACATGTTGTGACCCAAATGTGATGCAGCTTTACAGACAAGTTGTCACTATTCTGAATGATTGTTAACATACCATTAAAACCAATGTTGCCATGCTTCAGTGACACTTTGAATCCATAAAGTATTTTCTTTGTACCTAACTGAAAAATTGGACCGGGTGGACGAGATGCTTTTTAACCTTTTAAACATGGACAGTGTCTAGTCCATTGTAGTTGATTCTGCAAAAAATTTGTTTGAATGCTTGTGGAGCTTGCTTCACTAAGGCCATGAGCATTTGTATGACATCTTCCCATTAAATCTGGAGGCTGCAGCAGAGGCATGGCTGATAGAATTTCTCTAGTACTCGTGTTGCTGATACACGACCCAGGTCTCAGTGCTACACACGAGTGTAGTGACAACTGTTGCTCAGTGCCCAAGAGATTTTGATGACTTGTGGAGGACTTAATGTTAAACAATTGCTGTGATAGTTTGTAGAAAGCTGAGCTGGCACAGTTGATCTGCTGTTGGATCTCATCAACTGTGGCCTTATGAGTGTGGCGGCTGTGAAACTATGGTAAGTGCTCAATAAATTCCAGAGATTCTTCTCCAAAATATTTAGGTGGTGGAACATTTGAAAGAACAGTTATATTTCAGCAACATTCAAAGAAAGACAGATCAAGTTTCTTATGTGCAGAATTGAAGAGATCAAGAATAGCTTGAAAATCTGAGAAAAGCGGACAACACCACTTCACTCCATCTGTAAATTGTAGATCATGCATGCCCATGGCGGTCATTTTAGTTTTGGGATAGAGGTGACTGAGATCAAAGATTCAAACAGTGCTTAGATTAGAGGCCACTAGCTGGTCAGGTACAGTGCAAACAGTATGGGGGTGGGGTGCAGGGGCACTGTCACACAGCCTTGCTTGGTACCAGTATGGATTTTGAAATCTGATCAACTCAAAAAAGCTGCAGTCAGTACCAACATGGTCTAGCTACAGCACATGGTTGGCAGCAGTTTAAGGTGGCAACCTTCTCAAGGGCAATTAGGGACGGGCAACAAGTGCTGGCCAAGCTAGTGACTCCCACATCCCATCAATGAATAGAAAGAAAGTTGCAACTCCACGATTGTACTGAAGTTTCTTGGACCTTCAAATCTTTGCAGCATAATCCACAGAGCTTCACCATTTACTGAGTGAAATGCTGTGTTTAGTTTGATGAATACAATGAAGACTTATATTGTTCTCTACATTTTTCTTGTATTTATCAAGAAAGATGATGATGTCAGAGTTCTTCTGGAAGGTCTACTGCGATATGGTCTTTGGAAGGATTTCCGCAGCTACAGGAAGTAGGCGATTCAGGAAAACACGTGTCAGGATTTCCCCTGCTATGGGTAAGAGGAAAATACCTCAATAGTTTTCATACTGTGACTACTTTTGTAGATTTTAAAAAATTAATTTATAGGATGCTGACGTCACTGGCTAGGCCAACATTTATTGCCCATCTCTATTTGGCTAAGGGCAGGTAAGAGTCAGAGTCAATCACACTGCTGTGGATCTGGAGTCACATAGGCCAAACCAGGCAAGGACAGCAGCTTCTTTCCCTAAAGGACATTAGTGAAGCAGATGGATCGCCCACCTGCCCCCTGTCAATTGACAATGGTTTCACGGACATCAGTAGACTCTTAATTCCAGACTTTTTTGAACGTGGGTCCCCAGATTAATAGTCCAATGATTATACCATTAGACCATTGCCTCTCCTAAATATTTACACTTGTCACATTGTTGAAACTGGGAGGGGTTACTCTTTCTCCCAAATTTGAAGGATGATTGCATGGAGTCTTGAGCAAAAAGGCTACTAGCTTTGAAGATCTCAGCTGGAGCACCATTAGGACCAGCACGCTCTTTCTCCATCTGTTTGATTGTGGATTCACAGTTAAGGAGTTGTCAAAAATATCCTTTCCAGCATCTTCAACTTTTTAATCCTTTGTATGCATGCCACACACTAAGCTGGTATTTTGAGAAGGTAGATTTTAGAGTTTGAGAATGTTTGGAGAAACCATAGCTACTCTTCTAGATGTTTACTCCATGTAGTTTGCAATTGTAAGTAGTGTGGCACTCTGTTTTACTTAAGACCTAACTTAAATCGCTTGGATAATACAACAGTTAAGATGCTTAACTTTTGCAGTACTATACAGACAATACAATGTGTACAAGATTCACAAAGGCAGTATGCAATCAATTTTAAAACTGGCCTGGAAGACTAATCATTTTTGAGAAAGCTAACACACAATATGAATTTGATGTTATTTCTCCTTCACAAAAATGTAGAAATTCAACAAGTGCATTACAATGTTCTCAATATTGAATGCTGTTGCAGCTCAAGTGGGGAAATGTTTTTAAATAGCTCATTAAAAATGTAAATGATAGAGCCGAAGCATTTGCAACAATCTTCACCCAGAAGCACTGAGTGGCTGATCCATCTCAGCCTCTACCAGAGATCCCCAGCATCACAGTTTGCAGTCTTCAACCAATTTAAAATCACTCCATGTGTTATTGAGAAATGGTGGGAAGCACTGGATACTGCAAAGGTTATGGCTCCTGACAATATTCCAGCAACAGTACTGAAGGTTTGGGCTTCAAAACTTATTGCATCCCAAGCCAAACTATTTCAGTCCAGTTACAACGCTGGCATTTAACTGGCAGTGTGGAAAGTTATCCAGCTATGCCCTGTATACAAAAAAAACCTAACCTGGCTAATTACCGTCAGAGTCTCCTCTCAAATCAATCGATAAAGTGATAGAAGGGGGTCATCAACAGTATGCTCGAGCAGTGAATGTTTATCAACAACTGCTCACTGACACTCAATTTGGGTCCTTCCAACACCACTTAACTCCAGACCTCATTACAGCCCTTGGTAAAAACACAAAGAGGTGAATTCCAGAGGTGACGTGAAGAGAAGGTGAAGAGGTAACTGCCCATGACCTCAAGGCAGTGTGTGACTAAGTGCAGCAACAAAGAGCCCTAGTAAAACTAGAATCAATGGAAATTGTAGAAGACTCCAAACAGAAAGAGCTTTAGCTAGCACAAAGATAGACGGTTGTGCATGTTAGAGGTCAGTCATCTCAGCTCCAGGAGTTCACCACAGTAGTATCATAAGCCCAATCCATCAATGACATTCTCTCCATCGTAAGGTCAGAACTGGAGATTTTCACGAATGATTGTTCAATATTCAGCGCTGTATACAACTCCTTAGATATTGATGCAGTTCATGTCCAAATGCTGCCATATCCAGGCTTGGGCTGACAAGTAGCAAATACTATTCATACCACAAAATTGCCACGCAATAACCATCTTCAACAAAAGACAATCAAAGCAGCACCATCGTTGAACCCCACATTATCAACATCCTAGGGGTTACACCAGTCCAAAAAAAAAATGAACTGGACTCACTGCATAAATATGGTGGCTTCAAGAGCAGGTCAGATGCTAGGAATCCTACAGTGAATAACTCATCTCCTAAGCTTTCAACGGATGTCCACAATTTTCATGGCACAAGTCAGGAATATGGTGGAATGGTCCCCATGAACCTTGATGAATGCAGTTCCAACAACATAAGAAGCTCGACACTATCCAGAACAAACTAGCCTGCTAGACTGGCACCATATTCACAAGTATTCACACTCTCCACCACCAATGCACTGTAGCACAGCATTGTCTACCAGCTTCAAGGTACACTGTCGAAATTCACCAAGATCCTTAAAGAGAACCTTCCAAACCTGTAACTATTACCATCAAGCAGGCCGAGAGCAGCAGATGCTTGGGAACACCACTACCTGCAAGATCCTCTCCAAGCCATTTACTATCCAACTTGGAAACATATTCATTGCCAGTGGATCAATATTCTGGAACTTCCTCCCTACCTGCACCTATAGGAAACTGTAGTGGTTCAAAAAGGTAGCTCACCACCACCTTTTCAAAGGCAATTATGGGTGGGCAATAAGTGCTGGCCCAGCCAGCAAAACTTACATCCACCGAATGAATAAAACAAATGTTAAGGGTCAAAATATTGGCCAATAAACAGACAGACTTCACACATCCCACATTACAGTTACTATAAACATTAACTGCAACTCTCATTTTCAAGAGAGCAAAAGGCTATTTATAGATAATACAGTGAATAAACAGCCTGACTGAACATTCCCCAGCAGGACTGTGCACAATGTACAGACTGTAACACAAACAACAAGTATCACATCCATGTTATTGGCTGGCACCATCTCCTATGCATCAGCTGATGCTGTTTTTGTGGTTGTTTGGCATTCTACCCAATGGAAGGAATTAACTCTGAAGCTGTGTTTTAAACATTTTAATTCAGACAACTACCAACAGCCAACTTGTGGTATAGTTCTACTGTAGATCAAAAAAAAAAAATCACTGAATGTTGTTATTATGCTAGTACTGAAATTATAGTAATAGTTATATTACAATATACACAGCAATAGTTTTAGTAGCTACATTATGAAACAGCACACCTCCTATACAATTGTTTAAAAATAAGTGAACATTTCTCTAATGGTTTAGAGAACTTACTGAGTTACTTCAGTATATTTAAATATTAAAAGCATTTTAAAATACTCACTTATGAAGAGAAAAACTTTAAAAGCATCTTTTGATTGAAATTGCAACGTCATTTTTGAATTCATGATGTCCAGAGAAGGCCAACTAAATCACAGTTCACTTGCATTTGGGCACAGTATTGCAAAATTAAAATATGGTTGCGCTTCTTTTATCTTAAAAAGATGGGATTGTACTAATTTGGATGGACAATTTTTATCACAAATTTTATTACTGCCTCTTTCATGACCTGTACCACTTCATCACTGTTTTAACCCCACCCCCAATCTTTTGGCGTGAAGCTAGAACTAACCATCCAAATTTATACAGCATCTTTAACACAGCAAAGCATCCCAAAGTGCTTCACATGACAGTCAACAAACCAAACTTATTCCTCGCCAGGTCATATAAAATTACAGTAGACGGCCAAAGGCTTGGTCAGAGGTACATTTCAACTACCACCATAAATGAGGAGTGGTGGTGACACAGAGATTTGGAAAAGGAATTCTAGAGCCATAAATTCAAGAGTGATTAATATTGGAATGCACACCTGGCCCAAACTGGATAATGCAGAGAGCATTAAGCGTTGTAAGTCTCTAAGAAGTTAAAGGAGAGGTTAATCTATGGTGTAAATTAAAAGTACAAAAACTCTTTAAAAATATCCAGGAGCTGTTAAACCAACAGTCAGTGTACCTGAGCAAGCACACAGGTAAAGGCCGAAAACAAGACTTGATGCACAATATGGACAGCAAGAGTTCTGGATAAGGGAGTGCATGTTTAAGGCAGATATAATACTAAGAAAATGGGCTGCTTTGTCCTGGATATTTTTGGAGCTGCACTCACTCATTCAGGCAACAGGAGAGTATGCTATTAAAAACTAACTTGTGCCTTGATGGTGGACAGGGACTGAAGAGCCAGAAGGCAAGTTACCTGATGCAGAATTATCTAGCCTCTGACCTTCTCTTGCAGCCATAGTATTTATATATCTGACCAGTTTCCAGTCAAAGTTAAACACCAAGAAGCAAATGGTTAGGGATTTAGCCACATCATTGAATGTCCAGAGGAATAGTTAGAATCTCTCTCATCAGAGATACTAATTGCCTGGCACATATGTGGCACGATTGATATTTGCAAGTTATCACCCTAAGCCTGAAATATATTGGAAACACACAGAAGGATTTACTGCAGTACAATGTTGGAGGAATAGGCTATTCATTCCATTGAACCTACTCAATTAGGCCATAGCTGATCATCTACCTCAATGCCATATTCCGGCATTATCACTGTATCATTACGCGCAAGAAATCTATCAACTTCTGTCTTGAACAAGTTCAATGATTGAATTTCCATAGCCCTTGAGGTAGAATTCAAGAGTCGTCACCGTCGAGTGAGGACATTCATCCTTATTTCAGTCTTAAATGACTAATCCTCATCATGGTCCCCAGTTTGAGAACAAACAGCTGGGGAACACCTTATCTACATCCACCCTGTCACATGCTGTAAAAATTGATAAATTTCAATGAAGTCACTGCTCATCTTTCAAAAAGCTAGGTTGCCACAGGTTTACTGTAGTAGACCTTCTGATGGGTTATATGACCAACGGTCCTAAAAACCTGTGTGCACAAGCTAGTTTATGTGACAAGACTCTTCAACTGCTGGGTAGTACAATTTGCAATATTGAAAGCAAATTGTGTACTACCATATCTGGCGCAGAACAAAAACAATTTATTTGGATTTATTACAGTACTCCTGCTAGCTAGTGTATGAAATACAGACACATTGCAATAAAGAAAGAAAGCAAGGAAAAATTGCAAAAAGATGAGACAGAACAAAGGGAAAGAACAAGTACTGTTACACCTTGTATAGCTCTACGACAGTGCAAAGCACTTTGCAGTGACTGAAGTACTTTTGAGTAGCAATCACTTCTATGTTGGTTGAAATGTTTCACACACTAATCATGCATATCAAGGCCCTGAAAACAAAATTAAAATGACCAGATAAACTGTTTTGGATGTTGATTGAGAGGCAAACATAAAGTTGCCTACGACAACAGAATCCCCAAATTCTTTGAACTGTGCATTACAATCAATCTGAAGGCGTGGATAGAGCTAATGCTCCCATTAAACTGTGTGGAATATGTAGCAATTCAAAAATTCCGGCACAGGCCACATAATTGCCAGCTGCCTTTTGAGTTACCATACAGTTGGGCTGTGCCTACAAAATGAAAATTAGTGGGAATGATGGGCAGAGCCACAGTTTCACATCTTATCCAAAAACAGCCTGCTTCTCAAAAAACAGAATTTCCTCAGTACTGCACTGAAGCAATAGCTTAGATTATGAATTCAAATGTCTCGATTGGGACTTGAACCCTAACATTTCTGACTCAAATAAAAATATTACAATTGAGCCAAGGTTGACCGCTAATTGGATGGTATGAAATCACAAAAATAAAATACAAAAGGACAGAAACACTGCCGTGGTACTTTGTTTCCTTCAAAATTAGAGTGAACTTCCATACTGTACGTCACTTCATGGAGAAGTCTGAACGTAACTGAACTTGGATGATGGTCAGGGAAATTAGTTTCTCCAACTGTCTTAACACGTCTGTAAAATAAAAACCTCTAACTGACCAAAGCCAAAAGAAAGTCTGTGCTGTATCCCTAAGTCTGAGTTTCAGTTGCTATTATTCCCTTGCTAAACTCCCAGTTAAAATATAACTCACCAATTTCTTGCTGGTAAATATTCATAGCTAGTAAATTAAGATACTGTTAAGTCAATCCCAAAGCAAACATAAATTTGAAGCTTCAAAAGGTTGCAGCAGAAAATTCTTAATGTAAAGTACAGAGGAATGTTGCACCCTGGGAGGCACCATGATGCTAATTTGACAAGTTGGAGAGCTATTCTGTGTGTCTTGGCCAATATTCATCTTTTCGAATATCACAAAACAGGTTATTGATTATCACTGACTTTTTGGCAGCATGTAGTGTACAAATTCACTTCCCAGTTTCCCACAATAGTGACAATATTTCAAAAGTACTTCCATAGACTGTAAAGTGTTTTAGGATCTAATGCTTGTGAATGACGATAATTTTTTTTTTAATCTAACAGAACCAATTAAAACATAAAAAGCAGTGACGAAGATAGGATGAACAGGTGAATCAAACAAAATATTTTTAAAATTATGACAGCATATGGTTAAATGCTTTCCTGAATATGACTCAAAATATGTTGGTATTAAATCTGTGTTGAAGCTCTGTGCAAATGTATGTATTAATTGATCAACATATTGTTATACTATAGTATAGCACTCATTTTCTATGGAAACCAAGGAGTCACTTACAAACAGTAATGTGAATAGTTTAGCATTGAACCCAAAAGTGAAGCTCTTCAGCACATTTCCAGGTATCTATTACTTCAATACATAATGCATGTTTTTAATTAATGTATGCTAGAAATTGAATGGCTATTCATGGCATTTTCTATTGATGGATTACCAAACGTACAAAGTGAAGTGATATGCTTCGTTGATTAGAAAAGTAGAAACCTGCTCATAAGTGATAACTGAAAACAACTGTTCCAGCTATCTACTAATATATTATAATTGCTTCAGATTAGCAAAAATATTAATCCTGACTAGAACATACTTCCCCTCTTTTACACTGTCCTAAGATTGTCAGGTTCAATGCTTTCAAACTGTACCCCAATATCATCACCACTGTGTATCCCAATACTAACATCGCTGACACTCTACGCCAATATTAAAATCACTTACAGTGTACCTCAATACTGATGTCACTGACACTGTACCCCAGTGCTGAATTTGAGCATGGAGTTGGGACATTATGCCAAGGTTGCGCAGGATGTTGGTGAGGCTGCTTCAGGATTACTATGTGCTGTTCTGGCTATCAGAGGGATATTATGAAATTGGACAGGGTTCAGTAAAGATTTACCAGGATTTACCCATCTCCCGCATTCTGCCCTCAGCCCCTTTTCTTCCTTCCCACAACGGCGATAGGGTTCCCCTTGTCCTTACCTACCATCCCACTAGCATCCACATCCAGAAGATCATCAGATGCCGTTTCCGTCACCTCCAGCAAGATGCCACCACCAGACACATATTCCCCTCCCCTCCCTTGTCTGCCTTCCGCAGGGACCGTTCCCCCCCAGGACACCTTGGTGCACTCTTTCTTCACCCCCAACAGCCGTATGGCACCTTCCCCTGTAACCGGCGAAGATGCAACACCTGCCCGTTTACCTCCTCCCTCCCCAGTATCCAAGGGCCTGAACATACCTTCCAGGTGAAGCAACACTCCACGTGCACTTCCCAGAATCTAGTCTACTGCATTCGCTGCTCACAATGTGGTCTCCTCTACATTGGGAAAAAGAAGGGTAGACTGGGTGACTGCTTTGCAGAACATCTACGTTCTGCTCGCAATAAAGACCCTGAACTACCTGTTGCCTGCCACTCTAATGCACCACCCTGTTCCCTGGCCAACATCTCTGTCTCTGGCTTGCTGCAGTGTTCAAGCGAAACTCAATGCAAGCTGGAAGAACACCACCTCATTTTCCGCTTGGGGATCCCGCAGTCCTCCAGACTCAATATCGAGTTCAATAATTTTAGGGCTTAAACTCTCCCAAGTCCCAGCCCTCTACCCCACACACCAGGCCTTGTTACCACATAGCCTGCCATTACACACCACTTGTTATTAGTCACTAATAGTCCTCATTAGCAACTATTCACCCTGCCAGCCTGATTGTTATCAATTCTGTGTCTGTCCAACTGCTCTTCTCTCTTTAGGCTCTATCCTATCTTTTACTCCTTACCCCATCCCCCTCCCTTTTTCTGCATATAAACTGACGTGTTCCCAGCCACCATCAGTTCTGAGGAAGCGTCACCGGACCCGAAAGGTTAACTTTTTTTCCTTCACAGATGCTGCCAGACCTGCTGAACTTTTCCAGCAACTTTGTTTTTTTAAAATCAAGATGCTGTTGGGAATGGAGAGTTTGAGATATAAAAATACACTGGATAGGCTGGGATGTTTTTCACTGGAGTGTAGGAGGTTGAGGGGTGACTTTATAGAGGTTTATAAAATCATGAGGAGCATACATAAAGTGAATGGCAGGGCTTTTTTCCCCAAGGTGGGAGATTTCAAGACCAGAGGGCATACCTTTAAGGTTAGAGGAGAAAGATTTAAAAAGGACACGAGGGGCAACTTTTTTTAAAAAAAAAGCAGTGTGGTTCATGTGTGGAATGACTGCCAGAAGAAATGCTGGATGCAAGTACAGTTACAACATTTAAAAGACATTTGGATAAGTACATGAATAGGAAAGGTTTGGAGGGATATGGGCCAAATACAGGCAAATGGGACTAATTGACTTTGGGAACATGATTGGCATGGACTAGTTGGACCAAAGGGTCTGTTTCCATGATGTTTGACTCTATAACTGCAGATCTTATGAGAAAGACTAAATGTACAACTTGGTTCAACTCTCATTTGACCTATGAAGTTCCCTAGGCGGTCTGGGTGAGTGGAGACCCACTGTCAGTTTTAATGAAGAGGGACACTCATTGCCGTCAATAATGCAATGGTTGCATCAATGATAAGAACAAAGAGGTAAAATAAATTCTGATTAATCCGCTGTATATAATGCCAATATATTCTACCTTTATGGGACAATTGGAATGATGGACCAAATGTAATTGCTCCCATCAGGTTTGAAAACCAAAAGGATTCTTGCAGGATTAAACAGAAGTTATTTAAACTATCAAAAATCAAAATAAAACAGAAGAAGTAGTGCACTATCTACAACTTTTCTTTTGGCAAAGAATTTTTTTTTAGGAATGTATAAACAATTTATACGAAACCTTAGCATATCCATAGGGCATCTCAGAAGTTTCACAACCAATGGATTAATTCAAATGCAGTCATTTGTTATGACTGCAAGCATAGCAGCGAAGCTAGACTGAGTGAACTTAGATAATTGTGGAAGATCTTGAAATCATGCCTCAAATCAGGTAGACAAGGCCAAACAATCCTTCACAAAATGTGCGTCCTTTCGCTATACCCTGCTTTAATGTGGTAATCTAAGCTATACAAGTCCTGAGATGAGGTCAGAACTCTCAATCTGTTTTGGAGCCATGAGTGCTTAGAGAAAGCAGGAGTACCAAGTAGTAGAGAAAGCAGGAGTATGACATAGTTGAGAAGTCAGCTCCTCAATCAGAGTTTAAAATACTTGGTGGCATTCTTTTCAGAAACAGAAAGTTACACAAGTCTCACATTTAGATATCAGTATATAATTAAGCACTGTCAGAGGTGCTTTCACTTGGATGAGAAATTTAACTTTTTTTCCCCTCCCTTTTATTCATTCATGGAATGAAGGGCATCGCTGGCCAGGCAGCATTTATTGCCCATCCCTAATTATCCATCCCAGAGGGCAGTTAAGAGTCAGCCACATTGTTGTGGGTCTGGAGTCACATGTAAGCCAGACCAGGTAAGGATGGCAGTTTCCTTCTCTAAAGGACACTAGTGAACCAGATGGATTTTTCCAACTATTCACAATGGATTCACAGTCATCATTAGATTCTTAATTCCAGATATTTACAGAATTCAAATTCCACTATCTGCCATATCCCCAGAACGTTATCTGGGTCTCTGGATTAACAGTCCAGCGATAATGCCACGAGGCTACTGCCTCCCCTACTGGTTCCGTTACTACTACTTCTACTACACCTACTATTCCACTGGTTCTGTTAGACAATATAGGCATTGTATTACTACCTGTATAGCATTGATAACATTCTTCCTTCAACAAAATACTTTTCCATTTATACACAATTTTCAAAGCTTCTTTAGTTAGGGGGCTGGTTTGCTCAGATGGTTGGATGGCTGGATCACGGTGCAAAGTGGTGCCAAAAGTGTGGGTTCAATTCTTGCACTGGTTGAGGTTACACAAAGCTCTCTCCTTCTCGACCTCTCCCCTTGCCTGAGCTGTGGTAACCTTCAGGTTAAGCTACCACCAGTTGTCTCTCTCTAATGAGAGCGCAGCTCTATGGTCCAGTTGGACTATAGGTACTTTTATGTTATTTAGTATATTGGCTGAGAATTCTAGCTCCAACCCTGAGCTTGTAAGTAACCTAGGATGACAGATCACAGTGGGAAATACCAAAGTGTTGCAATGTTCATTGCCAAAAATGCTGCTGCACAGGTTTGCTGATTCAATGACAATAGTCAATTTCAACTCAGCGCTTTGCGGTATTTTTGAAAACGGTAAGACAATAAATCAAAGTCTTTCTCTCCAATAATGGAAAATGCATCAGAGCGTTGCGGAAAATTTTAGCATGAAGGAAAATCATAAAGGTGACTTTATATATTACAAATGGTCTCAACTTGCAGACTGGCAAACGAGCTAATTTTGTAATTTTTGTTCTTATTTGCAACTAAGAATAGTATTAGGTGCTTAAGATTCATTTTCCTATGGAAGGAAGAAATAGGAGTAGTAGCCCATCAGGTCTGTCAAGACTTCTCTGCTCTTCAATAAAATCAAAATGGATCTTCAGTATCAACTCCTCTTCATCCCCAAAGATTTGCGGAGAAATCAAAGATTATCTCAGCCTTAAATAAATACAATGGTATACAACCGTCTGAAGAAAAGATTCACAACTTTTGAGCTGAAATTTCTTATCACAGGCCATTATGCTGACACTGTGCCCACTGCACTCTAGATCCCTTGGCTAGGAGAAACAACCTCTCAGTACCTATCCTGTCAAGTCCGTTCAGAATCACGCATGTTTCACTGAGATGGTATATTATTCTTCTAAACTCCAATGAGTATATACTCAACTTACTCAGCCTCTCATCATATGCCAACTCTTTCATCATGGGGACAAATCTAATGAACATTCATTGCACTGCCTCCAACGATTATATCTGGCATGGCTATCAATGATACTCCAGTTCATAGGAATCTCTACTTAACAAAATCAGTGAATCACTGGGACGTTTGTTTTTGACAATATCTTAATACAAAACTGATTTGACCAGAAAATGGACCAAATGGGTGAATAAACTGCTGGTTTATCTTAACAAATATGTATATATCCCAATAGAAAGAAGGGAGAATTACAGTTAGGATTTTTAAAGATACTGATGTTT